CAGCATCCACACACACATACAGCATCCACACACACATACAGCATCCACACACACACACACAGCATCCACACACACACAGCATCCACACACACACACACACACAGCATCCACACACACAGCACCCTTACACACAGCACACAAACAGCACCCTCACACACACACACACACACACACACAGCACACTACCAGTACCCTCACACACAGTACATTATAGGAGCTAAAAATGAATAATACAGAGAAAGGGGATAAGGAAAAAAAGAGAGGGAGGGGGAAGGGTGAGAAATCCCTTAGCTGATAGTACTTAACAACAGTGTCTAAAATCTGAAGCGAATACTTCCCCCCCCCCCATGCCTTCGAGAGCACCTAACTATTCCCCAACTAGAATGCCACACACTGCATACACCCCAAAAAAGCAAGATAGCTAAATGAAAAAAAGTGTTTAAAAAATAATTAAGTAATTAATGCTGCATGTTAGTTAGCTGTCTAGCATGGTAGGAGGACAGCATAACCGAGAACCCTGACGCGCACATTTCACCCAACCTGGCTCATCAGCCCCTCTGATTTGAAACATTACAGACAGTAGTGAAATGCAGTATAATAGTGTCTTTGACAACTTACAAATAATGAAATATAAAATAAGAGAGGTTAAAAAAATACAATATGTAGCAAATGAACAGCTTTCATATCACAGGAACAAGCACAACAGTGTGGTATGAGAAATCCCACACCTCGTGTATAACACTTGAAAATTCACTTAGGGATTGTAACATAAGTGAGAGGTGTCTATACCAATTTAATCAACAACCTGACTTATTGTTTATACATTTTTAACAGCACCCAATTTGAATGAAATTTCAATAAAAACAAAGAGTAATCCCTTTGGAAGAAAGGCTTTTGTAAAATAATTTGAGCAATGTAAATTGTCCACATTGGGGATAATACCATAATGGTAAGGCTGTATGTAATTGAATAAATAGAAGGAAACAAGTTTACAACATTAAATTTATGTCCAATAAAATCTAGTCTCTTGAGGACAAGGAACAAGCATTTGCCCTTGAGGGGGTCAGATCCCAGAGGGTTAAGTAGCTTTTGTTCCTTTAAGATATTTAAGATAAGTATCTCGTGTCTGCTAGAAATTGTGACTATGGTTTCCACACTACTGAGCAAAATGTGTATTTAATAAAATAAACTGGGTGGAGAACCTACTGTTCATCCCAGCCCCCACCCAATGGCATTGGGTTGGGCTTATTTATTTTAATAATGGGGAGGACCTAACATAAAACCAACATATCAGAGTATCTTTACTGAGACTTCCCACCTTCATTTTGCATGTAGCCCTTGAGAAGCTCACTTGGATTTATTTTTATTGTCATACGATTATTATTTATTTATTTTTTATCAGATTTTTCTGAAATGTTTTTTTTTATTCTCAATACTAATGTTGGGAATAATTAGGTATTAATGGAGATTTAATGGTAAGAATTTTTTTTACAGTTGTTAGATAATTTTGCCCCTCACTATTGTTAGCTCCCTGATGTGGGGTGGATTGCATCTAACATGGAGCATTGTAGAATGGTATGTCCAGTCCCCTTATCACATTTAATATCTTCTTCGCCAGAATAGCACGTTCACCCCCAGTGATTATTAAGTAGCCCCTCCCCCCCACTGGAGGGGGCTACTGGAGGTTGTGGAGACATTAGGGCCTTCTTGGTTCTTAAAATAAATAGCTCCTACCCCATTGACAATTGGTGTGACAGGTTGCACATTAGAATTTCCACATTTAATAGTCTATTCACACTGGCCATGGGGGAGGACAAAGCTATCAGCCGATGCCCATGGGGCATTCAAAGGCCCCTCTGTTATTTTACAGGTCACTTTTCCATTGAATTGGGTCTTTCTAGTTCACTGTTTAGAAGATATGTAAATATGCCTCCACTCGTGGAATGGCAGGTGCAGGCATAAGTTTAAAAACCTTGCTTATGCTAATGTGGGGTGGTCATAGCCACCTGTTAGGATTATTTTTTAACACTTTTTTTAATGTGGTGGCTGGCTAGAAAGCATTGCCAAGCTGCCACATGGTTAATATTTGTGCCACTAATTTTTTTTTTAATTAGTTACATAGTTAGTAAATAGTAAATAGTTTGGATTTTTTTAAAATGTTACCAATCCGAGTCTGTCTTTTTGCAGTCCGGCAGTGTTCAGTTCAGAGTCAGCTCGGAAATATCCAGACATTGTTAAATAGTATGAACTATTGACTCTCAATGGATGGTTTAGCCTAATTCCGTACGGGGGTTATTCATACTTTAGTGAATTACCATTTCAGTCCACTTACCCAATGCATTTTATATGTTGAGCAGACATACTCAAGTGCCCGAAGGAGCATTGTTTCATTCCATGCTGGTTGCATAAGCATTAACCTGAGAAAAATATAATATCTGTATGTATGCATACATCATATTGACTCACTGCTAAATGTACTTCTTAATTTTATATATATAATATATATTTTGTTATCACTATTTTTATGTTGATATTTCTATAAAGTAGTATGGCATAGCTGATATGAGGGATGGTCCTGTAGGAAGGGTAAGTGCACTATTTTGGAATTTATATCCTGAAAAAAAACTGTATTACTAGACAGAGTAGCTATACATCTAGAGGAGGATTGACAATTTGAGTGTACCAAAAGTAAAAAATTACATACTGAGCACATACAGTATATCTGTCAGCACTATGTGACTCGGTGTAGAAGGCAATGTCATAAACCTTTTCCCATAAAGAACATTTCGCAATTGACATGATGAGAATCAGCCAGTTGCTGCCTCGATGTATCCCACTTTGCAATCTGTTATATGTTTTTTTGTTAATTTATAACATCACTCATGTTTAAATAAAACGAACCAAAAATACATACAGAATTTTGGTTTTGCAGTATTTCAAATGTTTACTCTAGAGAAGACAATCTTATATTTTTAGCTCTCTTACGGCAACTGCTCGATGCTTATTATTGACCTTGGGCAACCATGGTCTGATTCAATTAATTATGTAGATAACTACTGTGAATTCTTTGTTTTTTATGTCTTACAAATCGTTTTTTTTTTTTTTTAAACGCCCTGCAAAGCAACGCTGGATTTTTCCTTCTACTACATGTGCTATTTAAATGTTGCCTCTCTTGTAGCTATTTATTACATCAAAAGAACTGAAGCGTAGCTTTTTATAATTAAGATTAATGCACGGTTATATGATCTTAGCTTGCAGGACTTTAACATCTATTAAATTCATGTAAGTTGAAATATAAGGATTAAACTATTAAAATAGCATGAAAATTAAACTGAAGTGTAACCATGGTACTTTTACGAAGTGCAGTTCCTTTGAACTGCCATTATTTTATTTTTATTACTTTTAATAAGTGATTATTTCAGAGAACACGTACAATAGGTATTGAAAAATGATGGCACAGTAGGAACTTAATCATATTAAATACCAGTAATATTGTCACAGACTTTTTACATATTATTAGTGATGTGCAGTGAGTCACATGGTTTGGATATAGATCAAATTCATGCCCTGATTCAGGCATGTTGTATAGGAAAAGAGCAACATTTTCTTCATATCACTAGTAGTTCTTTATTCACTTATACACTACCTATAAACTTTTATTTTCGTCTTTACTTTTACTTGTAATAAGAAGACATCACTCCTAATTTTTAAAGAAACACTCCCACCCCCATAATAAATTAAGCTCACTACATGGTTATTTACGTTAGTAGTAATTCAAAGTGAATTTTAACACTAGGGTCAGTGTAGCTGAACTGAATGTATAGCGGACTTAAGAGTTTTTTTTTTTTTAATCCAGTTTGCCTTTTTTGATCTTAAAAAAGGCAAAATAATTTAAAAATATTCACAGTCATATTTAAAGGGTACAGAAGAGAAAAAGGAGAAGGGGGGGGGGGTGTGTAATTTTACATACAGGGTGACAACTGACGTTAATCAGATATATTTTTGAATAGATATAGTTTGGAGTATATACAGTATAAAATAGGTAAAGTTTTTCAGGTAGCATACATTTGTTATCATAGCACTTGAAACTGAGGATTAGACTGAGACTGGGCATTGTCCTTTACCTGGACCTGTCGTTAACTCTGGGAAAGTGACCCTGACCATCGCTGTGATTTTTGTGTAGTATAGTGTTACTGTGTGGTCTAGTGTTGTGAGTTGTCCTCCCCTATCCACATGTTTACGAATGTGCCATAGCTAGGCCAGAGATTGCCAACTGAGGTGGTAGACATGTGCCAGTATATATAGCACGCAGCTGAGTTGGAGAGCATCCAGTGGCCTGTGTAGTAGTGTAGGCCGCTCAGTCCGGGCACTGCAAGTGGTTGTGTGCGGTAGGGTGTGAACTACAGGTATTCATAGTCCTCGGCTATGAATCTCACCCATGGATTCCATGTTTCCCTGAAAAGTGTGTATCTGTGGGAGACGGAACCGTGGATCTGTTCCAAGGTTTTGATTGAGTCCACTTTCGCTACCCATTCTCTGATTGTGGGGACTTCAGGATTTTTCCATTTTACTGGGATGAGCAGATTGGCTGCAGTAAGGAGATGTGTCAGGAGGGCTTCCTGCGTCTTGGGGATTGAGGTGGGTAGGATCAGAAACAGCAGAGTGTGTGGGGTATGCGGTAGTTGGGTACCTGTCACAGTGTTGACCATTTTGACAATGTTGGTCCAGTACCTTTGCGTAAGCGCACAGTGCCTCCAGATGTGTGCGAGGGATGCCTTTGGCTGGGAACATTTCCAACAGATATCTGGTGTGTCTGGGAAAATATTATGGATTTTGACCTGGGAATAATGCCACCTGGATATTCTCTTGCATCCACTTTCTTGTACCTTGGTGCATATGGATGTCGTGTGGATTTGTGATAGGGCAGTCCGCCATTGAGGTGTTGTGATCTGTATATTCAGGTCTGTTAACCAGGTGTCTGAAGGGGGGTAACTGGGCACCGTTTTCGTCCTGCAGGATTTTGTAGAAGGTCGATAACTGTTTAGTTTTGATGTTGTGGGTCAGGCAATGTGTCTCAAAATCGGATAGGGTGCGGGGGCCCCTGAGTAAGGATGCGTTGGCCATTAGAAAATGGGTCAGCTGAGCATAACAAAACACTTGTAGTGTATACGAAGCCTCAGGGCCCACCAGACTAGCCAGTGTTCGTATGGAGTCACTCTCGACCACCGAGCCTAGTGTCAGGTAGGGGGCATCAAGCATTTTATTGTATCGTTGGTATGTCCCAGGTTGCATTCCTGGAGGGAAGAGTGGGTTATACGTGATGGGGAAAAAGGGGGGGATGGGTGGGAAGAAATATTTCCAGTTCTCGCATGTTTGTCCATGTCCTGAGTGTAGGGAAGATGGTGGGGTGTGCGGAGCAGCATGAGAGCAGTTTTGAGGGGGTGCCTCTCTGACAAGGGAGTGTATAGAGAGGTACTAAGCTTACCGCGCTTTCGAGGGCTACCCATTGACGTGTCGGTGGGTGTGCGGACCAGTCGTAGATCCTGGAAAGAATAACTGCCTTGTAGTATTGTTACATTTGTGGGAGGCCCAATCCTCTGCAGGATCTGTGTCTGATGAGAACCTCATATGGGGTTCTGGGTTGTTTCTGTGCCCAGATAAAGGTGGTGAAATGTTGCCTGAGCTTAGTGAAGAAGGGCTTGGGTATATCTATGGGCAAGGTTTGGAAGAGGTAGAGTATCTTAGAAAGGGAGTTCATTTTAAGAATGTTGATTCTATCGAGCCATGAGAACTGCTGTTTATGCCAGACTTGTAGGTCTCTTGAGATGGCTTGGTACAACGGGTCGTAGTTCAGGGCAAATATGGAGGACAGGTCCACCGATAGGCAAACTCCTAGATACGTAATGGAACCGTCTGCCCATGTGAATGCAGCTTACAGGAGGGGGGAGTAATTTGAAGTAGTAATATTTCGCTTTTTGAGAAGTTAACTTGAAAATTGGAAAGTTTATTATACAGGTTGAGTTCTTCTAGGTGGGGGGGTAGCAAGGTGGTTGGTGTTTATATGGTGAAGAGTAGATAGTCAGCAAACACTGAGATTTTGTACTCTGCGTTTTGTATTAGGATGCCCTTGATGTCTGAGTTGTCCCTGACTCCATTTAAGAAGGGTTCAAGTACGATAATAAAGAGGAGGGGGGGAAAGGGGGCAACCCTGTCTCGTGCTGTTTCTAATGTGTACTGGTTCTGAGAGTTGTCCGTTGACTCTTAGTCGGGCTATGGGAGTAGAGTAGATGGCCTCCATCCACTCCATCCACCGGGGTCCGAATCCTACCCTGCGCAGGGTGGCTGTCAGTAGTGACCAGTCCACCCTGTCAAATGCCTTTTCCGCATCAAATGAGACGAAGAGGCTCTCATTCTGCAGGCTTTTTGCCAGATATATACGATTTAAAATTTTTGTGGTGTTATGTTTTGCTTCTCTATTGGGGACAAAGCCTGATTGGTAGGAGTTTATCAAGGTTTGGAGCAGTGGTTTCAAGTGGGTGGCTAGTATTTTTGTAAATATTTTCACATCTAAATTTATCAGGGAGATTGGGTGGTAGCTACTGCAGTTGGTCGGGTCTTTATCAGATTTGGATATGAGGGCTATGTGGGCCTCCAGAGATGCCGTAGGGAAGGTAGCAGAGTGGGCGAGGGAGTTAAATGCTTGTGTGAAGAGTTTAGATAAAGAGGTTGTGAATGTCTTGTAGTATTTGGCTGTAAAGCCATCGGGCCCTGGACTATTCCCCAGTTTGAGGTGCCGTATAGCTAAGGCAACTTCATCTGAAGATATTGGTGCATCTAGCATTGGAAGGGCATTTGCGGGGATAGTCTGGTGGACCCTATTAGTCAAGAAGTGTTCAATGTCTTGTATCGATGGAGGGGAGTCTCTCAGGTTGTAAAGCTTAGTGTAGAAGTCGTGGAAGGCTGACAGTATGTCTGGAAGTTTATATGACACGGCTCCTGAGGGGGTTTTGATTTTGGAGATGAAGGTCGACTGCCTTTGTTGTTTAAGAGATTGTTTAACAGCATTTATTATGTCCTGTAGAGCTGACCGTTTGGCTGTAAGGGCTTTGTAGGTGCTCAGGCGTGTGACTGTTTTATGTTTGGTTTCTAGTGCCCTTATTTCTTCTGTAAGAGTACAAATTTTGGCCTCTCTGATCTTTTTGTGTTTTGCTGCCAGCGCTATTATCTCCCCTCAGTATACATTTATGTGCTTTCCACGTGATAGGCGGGGGTGAGGAGGGGGTAGTGTTGATAGTGAAGTAGTTGTTTATAGAGTCACTGAGCTGTGAAACTACTTTCGGATTATTGAGAAGAAGGTCGATGAGTTTCCATTGGAATGATTTTTGTGGGATGGTAGGTATGTGCAGAGCTAGAGATAGGGGTGCATGGTCCGACCATGTGATTGAGCCACAGTTGGTGGATTGTACTAAGTGGAGGAATCTGTGTTGAAGGAAGAGCATGTCCAGTCTAGAGTACGTGTGTGTGGTGGATGAGTAGAACGAGATGTCCTTGGTCGTTGGGTGTGTGGTGCGCCAACAGTCGTATAGCTGTGCACTGTCTAGGAGTTTGGCCATCCATGTGCGTGTAGATGTTTGGTATTCTGTAGTGTGGGACGTTGTGTCCATTTGTGAGTCCAGTGAGAGGTTAAAGTCTCCACCAAGGATTAGAATACCCTCGGTGAATTGTTCTATGGCTTTGAGCTGAGTTTTGAACACGTTTCATTGGAGTCTACTTGGGAGATATGTGTTTACCAGTGTGACTGTAGTCTGACCGATTTAGTCTTTGACCATGAGCAGTCTCCCAGCGTCATCTGATTTATGGGAGGAGTACGTAAAGGGCACATGTGCCGAGAGCAGGATCGCTACCCCTCTCGTCTTAGTGTCAGTGAAGTTGCTAAAGTAGCCGGTTGGGATCCTTCTGTTTCTGAGGGTTGGAGCTGCCTCTTTTTTGAAGTATGTTTCTTGCAAGAAGGCTATGTCCGCCTTAAGTGTGTGTAGTTCATTAAGAGCCATGGAGCGCTTTTCAGCGGCGTTGAGGCCTCTGACGTTGAGTGTAACAATGCGTACGTTGGCCATTGGGGTGTGTGACTGTGGCATTTTTTTCGCTTCGGTCTGCCTGTCAAGGGTTGATGTAGAAGTTGTCGTTTATGAAAAAAAAAGGGGTGTATGGGACTGATCCTGAAGGGGAAAAAGGTGGGGGTGGTAATTATAAACCTAAACTATGTACAAAGAGGAGTGCTGTCTGCCGGTGCTGTGCACCTGTAGCAGGAAGCGGCAAGGTGTGTTGACAGCAGGGGGTATCCTTTGCTGGCATACCTAAAGTGGTTAATTCTGACCACTGGGGTACCTGGTGTTCACCGTGGATAGGTCACGCCGGTGTTTGGTTGTAGGAGATGGAGAAGGGGAGTGGGAGGGTACGTCAGTGGTGCATCTGCTTTTCATCAGTGGATGAGCAAGAGTGGGTTTGGGCTGTGTAAACAGTGAAGTGGAATGTTTGTCCGTCAGGTGCTGATCTGGGCTCCTGCCTCATATACTTTTCCATAGGCAGTAGTACAGTTACCATCTAGAGGCACTGCTGTGACTCGGGGTTATCTGGGCCATTTAATGAAGGGCAGGCAGGTCAGTGTGTTTGCCCCTTCAGCCACAGCCCAGGGGTCTCTGAGAGGTCTATTATGAGCTACTTGGGGCTGGGCGAGGAGACGGGAAAGAGTGCTGTAGGCTTTGGTGTAGTCTAGTGTAGAGGGCTGAAAGTGGATGTCTCATTGGAAACACATATGGTCTATTTTGCACTATAGGGTAAGACATCTGGGAGTGTCGTTTTGAGGGGAGATTTGCTCAGCGTTGCAGGGTCTAGCGTGCACAATTATATAGAGATATTTATACATATGCGTTTTTTTGTTTGTTTGTTAAGGAATGCCTTATGTCCCAGGCATAAACTTAGGGGGGGGGGAGAGGAGGGTGAGTGAGGAAAAGGAGTGGGAAAGACACCCTTCAAGAGATCCATGCAGCATTGTTAACCTTCCGTAGGGACCTCTCGTCCAGGGTTAAATTTACAGCGTTGCTTGGGGGGTAAATTGATCACAGTTGTTACCCGTGTCACTGATCATGAAAGGGGGGGGGGGGGAGGGATCAGGAGTGTGTCCCTGAAAATGTTGAAACATCACATTTCACAGTGCAGTTTGACATAACTGGTTAACATAAGCATATTTTATCTCAGGGAACAATGCCCGCAGGATCGGTACCTATATCACATACTGGTCAATATCTTGTCGGGTCAAGGTATACCATACCATAACCAAACCTTAAAAGAGAGGAGGAAGGGGGAGGGAGGGGTGGTTAGGTGTGGATAAGGGGGAGGAAATTATGGACATTATCAGGGAGTCAGCCGCAGAGTCGTACATTTGTAAATACACTTGGTATCGAGTTCACACATCTATTAAGTGGTACTAGCCCTAGGGGGGTTACATTCAGCATGTAGTGATCGGCTTTACTCGTGCGTGTTATTCAGTCCCAGTGCAGCAGTGAGTTTGACGTGTGTCGGGCTCAGGGATCTAAGTGGTCGTAGCCGCTATGTCTTTTGGGCCAGGTACATGAGCACCCGCACACTTTTGTGATGTGCAGGCCTGCCAGGTAGATGGGAGGGAAGGGGGGGCAGGATTGGGAATGTGGCCCCAAATAATGCATATATAACACAACCTACATTGCATTTTGATAACATTGGGAACAGCGCCCCCGGGACAAAATTACATTCTATCCCGGGCGGCGACGCCCACATGGCAGGCACATATATCATATGTTGAGTAGGATCATATCAAGCTATGGTATGCCAGGCAAGGAGAGAGGTAGGAAAGGCGGGGGAGCTTCTCTCTGAGCTGAGGTAGTATATCCGGTAGACTTTTGTAGTCATCGCAGGTAAGTCTTTTGCATGGGAGGCGTCGTCTGCAATCAGGTCAGGATGAAGGAGTGATGGGAGTCCGTGGCAGTCCAGTAGCGCCTTGGTGTAAGTTCCAAGCAATTAGTAATAGGTTGCGGTATGTGCTGGTCCATTTGGTGGTGCAGCTGCCCAGTATGTTCTCCGTTTCTTGGGTGTTTGTTGCTAGTGATTTCTTTGTGGTAGTCATGTTGTATTAGGAGGCTGAACAATGCCATACCAATCTGGGACCTGGAGGTCAGGTAAGTCCATCTCCCTTAGGAACACCGGGACATCATGGATCGATGAGATGGTATGTGAGGCCCCGTTATCGGTGGCTGTGAGT